CCTGGGAAAACTCCTTGGTCTGAAACAACCATTCAGTTTTTTCTATCCAAACCAAAGATTGAGAGACAGAGGAAGTACTACATACAGCTAATTTAACCCACCTCTGGGGAGTGACATCATAACTTGTTTTCCTCTTAAACTTGGCAACAATTTCTCCTGCTGTCATGTTTTCATCTAACTGGACTGCTGTGCTGTTCTTAGTCAAGCCAGGTGCCTGCACTCTTATGATGCCTTCTTTGAATTCTGCCTGGAAAAAAAAAAGAGAAAAAGAAAGGAACAGAGAGGAAAATGGAATGGAGGCTTTTATATAGGACCATTGGCAATTTAGGGCATGATAGTGTTGGTCTAATAGCATATTAATTCGTTTTTTTTTATTTAATCTCTAAGTTTTTTGTGGTTATAGAACATTGACTACACCAGGTCTGCATGGATTTCTAATTTTGGTGTATAATTTTTTTTTATTACCATTTTTTAAAGAACGGCTATTCTTACCTCACTGGAGATCTTCTTGTATACCTCAGATTTGTCCTTCTTTCCTCCAAATAACTGCATAATCTGAGAAAGATAAAGGCAGAACTTAGTTTATGAATTATCTCAAAAGTATTGAAGGTGAAACAAAGCCTAAGTAAAAAATATGGGCCATTAAAAAGTATGCACCTAATCAGGTGTAAACATTATACTTTTAATCAGTGAAATTGTAAAATGTGAGAGTTCATCCTCTTTACAATTTCTATCATCATCATCATCATCATCATCATCATTTTCTTTATCATCAGTATTCTTCTCATTATTACAATCAATATGACTACTTTTTAAACATCATTTCCAAAAAATTTGACTTTAACATTCATCTTTGCTCATTGTCATTATTATTATTATCATTATAATTATAATATCATTTTTTGAATCACAAAATGTCTAACTCACAGATTTGTCTTTGGTTTTCTTCTGTTGCTCCATCTCATACTGGTGTCTAACCTGCATCAGCATCACGGACGGTACCGTCCACAGGATGTGATGGTACCGGATCAACATCTTCACTATATTAGACATGCTGGCCGCTCTCTGGGTCTCCAACTCCTTGAGATCTTTGTGTTTGTAGTGGGACTGAAATGAAAGACAAAATAAAGACGATTAACATTTTACTAATATAATGGGACTATAAAACAATAAGGGCATTTTTCCAACACATGGAATCCAGCTCATTGAAATTTTTTTGTTTGTCATACGACTAAAATGAAAATAAAGACAAATTACATTTTTCCTCTACAGTGACTCCAGCACTGTGGGATCTAAATGTTATCATGACACTTAATTGAAAACAAAAACAACATTTTCATATTGATGGACATGGTGCCCTGAGCTTCTTCAGTTATTTTAATTAAGAGTTGATGCTGGTAACAGTACTGACTGACAAAGTACCAAAGTACCAAGCTCTGAATGAGACACACCCAGAAAGGGCAAAATTCAAAATGAATAAAAGGAAAGTTCATTTACCTGTAGTACCTTGACCTCAGAACTTAACCCTAATAGTTCAGGCAGAAACAGTTACATATCATTCATAAATACAGTGTTGACCAAGAAGTTATTTGACATACCTGGACAAGAAACAGGTTGGGTGCCATGATCATGGCCACATTGGCAAGGGACATTTTGTTTTGTTGTTTGTGGTCTATGACATGGTGGAGAAACTGCAGTAAAAGCTGTCAAAAGAACAAAATACACTCAAATACTGACAACAACAACAACAACAACAACAACAATACTCATAATAATAATAATACATTAAGAAAATAATATGGAAAATTGACTACACAACTGTTATGGCAAATAAAAGATACTGTAATAAACCTGGTGACACAACTGTTAACAAGGCAGCAAAGCTGTCAAATGTACAGACAAAAAACAGAAAAAAAAGATGCAAAATAGGTCATTATGTCAATTTTGATGCAATAATAAATGCTTATAATAGCACAGTCAGTCAACACTGATTTTTAATCATGCACAACAGGTAACATGGTCAATAACAGGAGCAGATTCAGAGATATTTTCTGACAGTATTCCAAAGTATCTTTGTTGATCCATCCTCCATTTTGATAGTCTTCCAACAGAAACCCGTTAATGTAAACTGTAAAATCTGACTGTCTTCCGGGANTGGGGATTCACTCACTGAGTCTAGTGTCTCGATCCTTTGTCGGTAAGACTGCGTTCCCATAAACCCATCATGCTAACTAGAGTGATCTAACTCTAATGGGCTTCTCACTAAACTGCTTTCAGTGTCATCAAACTAGTATTTTCTATTGTCCTGTATGTTAACTTGTCTGCCAATGTTTATCAATGTTTTTACACCATTTATCAAAATGTGACAAGATATGTTATGCACATATCAACCTGTTACTTTGGGACAGGTCCAAATGTCTGAAAATTTTAGCTTCTTTTGCACAATTTCTGTTTTTTTACAGGGCAAGAAAAGTTTTCTTTTATCCTGGCCAACATGTAATGTCACCATACATAAGCTCAAATCCTCCGTGTGTAGGGAGTGGTCACAAGAACCTTTACAAAATGGCGCCAGCCTGAAAGAAGACCTTAAGGAGGCTGTAGCTTCACTGAGGAATAATTCAGCAGATTTTGTGGGTAGGTGTAAGGTTGTATGCATAGACTATCATGTCAAAAGTTTGTTTGCTCAGTATGGAGTAGGTAACAATCTTTGTCAAAGGGAGTTATCAGATATTTTGGAGATATTTTGGGGGGGCCAGTTTGCTTTTAAATTGAGCTTTATTGATTCAGAAGCAGTTATGTGATGATTTTCAAAGTTGCAGAAGATACAAGAAAAGGTGAGATAAAGATGAAAAGGGATTTATTTTTAAAAAAATAAAAAAAAGAAAGGATTAGTCATATCTAATTTTGATAGTCTTTTGTACATGTTGATTGTGTTTGTTTTGTATTTCAGGTGTGTATTATGGTTCAATTGATCATTTTGGACATCTGTACGGCCCTAATGGGAGGGAGTTAAACACTGCCTTACGGGAGTTAGATGGTGCAGTAGCTGAACTTTTGAACATCACAAGTGACATGAGGGAAACCTTGAATATTATCATACTGGCAGATCACGGTGAGTAGAAATTTTGTGAAATTTTACTAAAATCCTTTAGGTATTTGATGACTCTTTCTCTTGTTTCTGTCTGTCTGTATTTCATGGTAAATATAGCTCTTTATAACTGAAACACCTTATCCGAGTTGCTTCTAGGTATGACTTTGGTGGGTGAGGTTGTTAACTTGACCCAGAGGATGGACTTGAGTGACCTGGATAGTTTTCCCATCAAGGGCTCATTAAACAATGGTGCAAATGTAGAACTATGGCCAGCAATCGATGCAGCTGAGGTGAGTCAAGTTGATTGTTCTCTGCTATCCTGATTCACAACTAACACAATGCATTTGACTCTAAACTTTTGTTATACTCCTCCGTCCTAAGATAAACATGTCAAGAACTGACGTACAGCTAAAAGTACTCTGTTTGGGATTTTTCACTAAATTTAAGCTTTTCCTTGTGAAAAAAAGTTATTTTCTCCCACTCACATGATTGCTTGGATGTGTGATTCTTGTTAAATAATTTGACAGTAAATGAACTGTGATTCATGTGGACTGTCAAGGTCAAAGTCACTGTTGACTGTGAAGGTCTTTATTTTTAAGGTCTTAATTGGGAAAGATTGCTAGCTTTTTAGGATGTCTTTATTGAAACATTCATGTGCCTTTTGGACATTTTCATGTGTATAATATATACAGAGTACACTTTTACAATGGATACCAGTGGAGAAAAAAAGGGCTTTTATACCATGATATGTATTCATGATTCTGTAATATTTTCAATTGGTATTATTTTCAGTTAGTGAACAAGTTAAACAATGCCTCATGGGGGGAGAGAAATTTTACAGCTTACCTGAAAAAGGATATTCCAGAGCGTTTCTTTTATAAAAATCACAGAAGGATTGCTCCTGTAGTTGTCATGGCAGATATTGGCAACCATATGACAACGGTACGATTAAGGATTAAACTAAATAATTAGTAATACCTAGATGTTCATAAAATAACAGAATACCATATTTGTTTTGAAAATGAGATTACTTCAGTTATAATTTTTGTATCCTTTTTTAATTCCTATTGTTTGCAATATATATTTCTTACGCATTCAGAACTGTATTTTCATAATCTAGTAAGTGGACTGAGATAGTCTGATGTATTTCAGAGTTACATATGGTCCTTAAAGTTACATTTAAAGCCAGTTTGAATGTCTAATGTAACTTTTTAGCATATGTGATGACTTATAAAATGAAGTGTTTTTGTTTTTTGTTTCAGTTTGCATCTCCGAATATGCTGACTTTTAATGACACAGATGAACATAATAAAACTGTTGTTCGCAACTGGAGAGGTCAACATGGCTATGACAATAGAGAAAATGACATGCATGCCATATTTTATGCCATAGGACCTAGTAAGTAATGTTTTTATTTGTGTGTGTGTGTGTGTGGGGGGGGGGGGGGGGGGGGCTTAAGGGTCTATTTTCCCCCCCCCCCAAAAAAA